AATACAAGGCCATTTCTGTAGTTCCTACACCAAACTTCATCCTTAAGTAAACTGTCTCTGTCACTTAGAGGAGTCTCGTGTGCGGCCTTGGTGTTCCTGATGTCGTTTCACCCTCTCCCCCCACCAGGTCAGGGAAGATCAGACTTAACCTGGTGTGGAGTCTTCTCCTCATTAGCAGCTCTGCTGGAACTATCCCTATAGCTACATGAGGAGTGGCACAATAATCAAATAAGAACCAGGACAGTTTGGTATCTAGTGAACCTGTAGGCTGTTTCTCTAAGTCTACCTTCAAAGTTTGAACTGCTCTTTCTGCCAGACCATTGCACACCGGATGGTACGGAGCTATCCTTATATGCCAAATGCCAATTGACTTTCGGAAACACTCAAATTCCCTGTTGGTAAATGATGGCCCATTGTCTGTGACCAACACTTTTGGGAGTCCGTGTACTGCAAAAGAGGTTTGCAGCTTTTCTATCATCATCCCCGTGTTTGACAAATGAACTCTATGCACGTCCAAACACTTTGAGTAGGCATCCACAACGACTAAGAATGTTGAGCCCATGAAAGGACTGGCATAGTCGACATGTAATCAAGTCCAGGGTTTACCCAGCCATTTCCACAGATGTGGGAATCTGCTGGTGGTAATTCTCATCCTTTTTGGCACTCCGGGCACTGATGCAGCTATTTCGGTATCCAAGCCTGGTCACCAGCTATAACATGTTCATTTTGGAAACCCTGGCTGACGCCTGGCAGAGTTCAGCCAGTATCTGGTGGCGACCTTTGCTCAGGACAATCACTCTTGCTCCACATAATAATATGCCGTCCTCTACAGTGATCTGCTCTCTCTGGGTCCAGAGGTTTCAATCCTGGTTGTGATGGCCCTTCTGCTTCCCCCATCATCACCAGCTGTTTTAGTTTTGCCAGGACCAGATCATTTTGCGTCCACAGTCTGAGATTACCAGCTATGACTGGAAAGGTGTCCAGAAAGTTTAAAAGAAGAATAGCCTCTTCTAGTGGTGGCACCACCAGTGGTATATCTGCTAGCAGGAGATGGCTCAAGGCAGCTGCATTTGCTACACAGCCTCCTGGTGTTTCAACTTGTAATTGTACACACTTAGAATGAGAGCCCATTGCTGAACTCAACCTGAAGCTCTGGAGAGCACAGCCTTGTCCTCTTTGAGTAACCCTAGCAGGGATTTGTGGTCTGTTACTATTACAAATTTTCATCTGTAAAAAGGTATTGGTAAACCTTTTCCACACCAAAGATGACCGCCAAACCTTGGGTCTCAGGGCAGCGTTTGTGCTCTGCATCAGCCAAAGTCTGGGAAGCATACACTATTGGACATTCCTCTCCATTGGGCCATCCGTGAGCCAACACTACTTTGATACTGTGTGGGAAAGCATCACATGTCAGCACCAGATCTGGCTTGGTATTGTAGTCTGCTAACACTTTATATAATGATAGCTGCTTCTTCACGTCCCTAAAGACTAGGTCACGGCTACGAGACCATTTCCAAGGCTGACTTTTGTTAATAGCAGGTGTAAGGGTGCCAGGATGGATGCCAAGTTACATATGAACTTTCCGTAATAATTTACCAACCCAAGGAAAGACTTAAAGCCCTGGTACAAACATGGGAGCAGGGACACTCTTGGTCGCATTCACTTTATCTTCCAACGGATGTAACCTGGTCTTGTTGATTCTCAAGCCCAACTCTTTTCTTTCTTATTTATTCATGTTGTGGGATGAGGATGTTGCTGGCTGGGCCAGCATTTATTGCCCATCCCTAGTTGCTTTTGAGAAGGTGGTGGTGAGCTGCCTTCTTGAACCGCTGCAGTCCACCTGCTGTGGGTTGACCCACAATGCCATTAAAGGAGGGAGTTCCAGGATTTGGATCCAGTGACAGTGAAGGAACAGCAGGGGAACTTGCAGGGGGTGGTGTTCCCATGTATCTGCTGCCCTTGTCCTTATAGATGGAAGTGGGCGTGGGTTTGGAAGGTGCTGTCTGAGGATCTTGGGTGAATTTCTGTAGTGCATCTTGTAGATGGTATACACTGTTGCTACTGAGCGTCAGTGGTGGAGGGAGTGGATGCTTGTGGATGTGATGCTAATCAAGCGGGGGCTGCTTTGTCCTGGATGGTGTCAAGCTTCTTGAGTGTTGTTGGAGCTGCACCCATCCAGGCAAGTGGGGTGTATTCCATCAGACTCCTGACTTGTGCCTTGGAGATGGTGGACAAGCTTTGGGGAGTTAGGAAGGGAGTTGCTCGCTGCAGTATTCCTAGCCTCTGACCTGCTCGTGTAGCCACTGTTTATGGGGTGAGTCCAGTTGAGTTTGTGATCAATGATAACTCCCAGGATGTTGCTAGTGAGGGGATTCAGTGATGGTAACACCATTGAAGATCAAGGGGAGGTGGTTAGATTGTCTCTTAGTGGTGATGGTCATAGCCTGGCATTTGTGTGGCGCAAATGTTACTTGCCACTTGTCAGGCCTAGCCTGGTTATCATCCAGATCGTGTTACATTTGAACAGGGACTGCAGTGTCTGTGGAGTTGCGAAGTGCTGAACATTGTGCAATCATTAGCGAACATCCCCACTTCTGACCATATGATGGAGGGAAGGTCATTGATGAAGCAACTGAAGATGGTTGGGCCTATGACACTACCCTGAGGAATTCCTGCAGAGATGTCCTGGAGCCAAGATGACTGAATACAACAAGGATGACCATCTTCCTATGTGTCAGGCATGACTCTCACGTGGGGTGCCTGGAACATACATTTTTCTCTTGTCAGGCATATGCCCACGTGGGAGAAATATCTAAGGACTATGTCCAAGCTCTCCAAGTGCTCTTTGTTTGTCTTCCCCCTTATCATCACACAATCCAGATAAATGACAACATGGGGTAGACCTTGTAAAATGTTTTCCATTATCCGCTGAAATATGGCACAGGCTGACGATACCCCAAATAGCAGTCTTGGATATTAGTGGAAACCTTTATGGGTATTAATTGTAGCATACTTTTGGGAATCTAACCACAATTGCAGGTACGCATGGCTCATGTCCAGCTTCACGAAGGACAGCAAACCCCCACCCCTCCCCCCTTAGTCCTCTTGCAAAGGGATTGGGTACTTATGCAACTGCAAGCAGTTTACCATTTGTTTAAAGTCCCCACAAAAGGTGAAGCCTGACAGCTCAGTTCACAATTGGTACGAGCAATGCTGCCCATCCTGCAAATTGTACTGGTTTGATGATTCCTTCGCTTTCCAGCTTTCTGCCTCTACTTTTGCAAGTCAAATGGCACTGGGTGGGCCTTGCAGAATCAGGGGATTGCTTCCTGGTCAACGTGCAACGTGGCCCTGACTCCTTTAGCAGTCCCTAGAACTTCCTGAAAAACTGCTGGGTATTTAATTAGGACTTCACTCAAGCAGCCATTTTCTGATCAAAAAATGTCAAGCCAATCAAGTTGAATCTTTCTCAACCAATTTTGCCCCATCAAGTTTGTAGTAAAAAGATCAGGCCCTATCACTGGTAACTGAACCAGCTGCTTCTCATAAGAGAGCAGAATCAAAGTTGTACCCTTAAATCTATAACTGTTCCCCAGTGTACATTCTCAGACTAGCAGAGGTCTTATGCAAACTCAAGAGTTGGGGTCAAGAGAGAATTTTGTTAAGGACTGGTTCTGCGATCACTGATACAGCTGTGCTGGTATCAACTTCCATTAGAACCAGGTGACCATTTAACCAGATGTTTATTTTGATTGACATCTGGTTTGGAGCATTTAAATTTCTTAGTAACATCCAAATCAGAACCAGTCGGCTTTCCAAGATATACACTCTCCTGGATACCGGCCTAGGAGTTCTCTCACTCAATTCAGCCCTAGTGGGACTCTTTTACTGTTGAGTCTGCATACCAGCAGCAACTTCAAGGCCTTGCCGGCCCAGATCCTAAAGAAGACTTTAACCATTTGGCCGAGGCTTGGCTTTGTTTGACATTTTGCTGTGGGCTGACCTAGAGTCCCTCTATTCAGAATAATGTCCTGAGTGAGGCTCTGCAATTGCCTTCCCTCTCATGGTCTCCCCCAAGCTCAGTCAGCTTGGGGAGGGTGTCCACTTCCATCAACATACCCTCTAACTCATATTTCACTTGCTGCATTTTCTAATGACAAAGCCAGTTATAGTGCCTGTTGTAGTGTCCAATTGGGCTTCAACTAGTTGGTACTTTTGCATGGTTATATCATTCATCCCACATGCCAAATAATTTCTCAGCATCTCATTGGTTTAATCCTTAAAGTCACATGCCTCTGCCAGTCATCTTAACCTCATCAAAACTCCCAACATAGTTTCCCCTGGTTCTCACATTGCTGAGTAAAACCTATGGCATCTCAGCATTAGAGGTGGCTTGAAGTCATAATATTCCTTAAATAAATCCATCAACTTTTGAAAGATTATATCTGGTACCTCAGGAAATGTTAGGCCCCTAATAACCAAAAAAGCTGCAGGTCCACAAGCTGTCAGAAGAATTACTTGTTGCTTTTCATCTGCCCCAATGTCATTTGCCCATAAGTAATACATTCTTTCCACATAGTGGCTGAGTCTTCGACAGATCAAACGAGTCAAGCTTCCCAAATAATGGCATGATGTCAAAAATGCTTAATCCAACTCAAAGATGACTGTTGCGAGCGAATTTCTTTAGAAGCATATTTCAGTGGCGGAGGCCAGTTTATCATTGCCAAGTCACCCTTTATTTACACGTGCATAGTACTTGATACTGGTCTGGCTTCCTCAGAGCCAGCTGTCAGAGTGAACAAAACATCTGACATTCCTATTTCTATCTGCCAAACAGAGTTCCCTGATTGGACCACATTAATGGCCCCAATCAGGGAACTCGACAGTAAATCCAGGGGCACTGGACCTTTGAATCATGGCCATCATCCCTCAACCTAGATGTTTAAAAATTTTTGGAATATACATTCTGGGAATGTAGGCATCACTGGCATTGTATTTATGCCCATCCCCAATTGTCTTTTAGCAGGTGGGTGGTGAGTCAACTTCTTGAATACAACTCAGTGGCTTGCTTGGCCATGGCAGGAGCAGTTAAGAGCCAACCACATTGCTGTGAGCCTGGAGTCAAATATAGGCCAGACTGGGTAAGGATGGCAGATTTCCTTCCCTAAAATACATTGATGCACTAAAGGGGTTTTACACAACTCCAAATCGTTTTGTGTTCACTATTACTGATACTAGATTTTAAGATGAAGATTATTCATCTGAATTGAAGTTCCTCAGCTGCCATGATGAGATTTGAACTTATTTCTCATGACCTTTAGACTGAGTCTAGATTACTGATCCAGTAGTATAAACACTATGCTACTTTGCCACTAATCTTTGCTAAATTTCTATGTTTAATCTTGGTCTAGGTTTGGAGTATGCAACTCTGAACTTTTTAAAATGGAGTCTTACAGGTTACAGAGCAGAGGGAAAGAAAGAATTTGTATTTATATTGTACATTTTACATCCTCTGCAAATGCTTAAAATCTTTACCTTTCAAGTCGCATAGGCAAATGCAACAGCCAATTTGCGCACAGCAAGCTTCCACACAGAGCAAATGGAATAAATGATCTGACAATTCACTATTAAAGTTGTGTTTATGGAGAGTTCACCTTTGCAACAGTACCATGGGAACATTTAACATCTGCCCTCTTGGGCCTTTGTTTTCCAGTCTCAACCAAAAAGCCGGCCAAGACTGCCAACACTGCAGCACTCCCTCAGTTCTGATCCAGGAGTATCACCCTGGATTTTGAAATCAAATCTTGGTCTTGAACCTATGACCTCCTGAATCAGGAGTGAGACTGCTACCCAGTGAGCCGCGAATACTGATACTTAAAAGTGTGCAAAAACAAGAGTGAGAGCAACTTTCCCCTTAACCCAAGTTGTGGAGAGCACATCCCCTGGATTCCATGCACATCTCAGAGGCCAGTTACAAAACAGCCTGAGTCTCAAAAGAAAGCTCAAAATGGGTAGCCAGCGAATATGATTTGAAAATCCTTTGCAAGACATTTATAGATATTGTTGTTTCTTCAATTCTCTGCCTGGTGTCAGGTCTTTAGTGATTATTTGCTGAACCACAGCAAAGTGCTGTGATTTTCCACTATAGAACAAGAAAGCAGGCCAGAATCTACTTCAGCACAAAAGAAGAAATCAAACCCTATGCTGTTGCTGTTGAACTAATCCACATGCGTGGCAGCCTAGGCAACTGAGCTACTGGCCTCCCAGATAGCAATATACGTCTGTCAAAAATTGATACAAATTTGACAAAAGAACAGGAAGCTAAGCTTAGATCACTGGTAGCTGACTCTAATACAAGGAAGCTCATAATTCAAGACTAGGAAGTATGCACAGAGAAAGCTCAAAATGCACTAGTCTATGCGTTATGGTTATGCTTCTACCTACAAGCTTGTGCAGTTCCACCTTATACTAGATTGACAGTATGTTAACACAAAAGAATTCTAATATCAATGAATTACTGAACAAGGTGGAGTGAATGGATTCTCTCAGCGATTCCACTTGCTGTAACTTTAGGTGCTTCTGTGGCTGATATTCTTGCAGCTGGTGGTCTATGTTGAGCAGAGACCATTCATTCTGACTGACTTATTCTCTGTTGGAGCCAAAAATCTGCAGCATGAAGGTGAAGATGTAAATGATGTCCAGGTAGATATTCAGTGCCCCAAAGATGTACTCCTCAGGGCTGATTGCGTAACGACGATTCCCTATTAGCAGCTGTGTGTCAAAGGCCAGGAACTGGAGGAGAATAAGCACAATGCACTTGGTATTTGAATGGGCTTTCTCTGTGGAGCTAAAGTTATTACAGGTTTGCATGCAGATTATATTGAAGAAAATGGATGACTTGCGTTTGCAACTACAGGCAATCTCAAAGCACTTTATGGCCAATGAAGTAATTTTGGAATGTAGTCACTGCTCTAAATGGAGGAAATGCAACTGCCAATTTGCGCACAGCAAGTTTCCACAAACAGCAATGTGATGACAAATTGGGTCATCTTGACATAAATATTTGCCTGCTCTCATTGGAGGAGTGTCATGAGATCTTTTACACCCAGCTCAGATGGCCTCTAATGTCACATCCAATAGAGAGCACAGTCAGCACTATGCTGGCAGCAGCAGCCGCCTACATTTTGTGGTCCAATCTCTAGAGTAGGTCTTGAACCCACAATCTTTTGACTCAGGCAAGAGTGCTTTCCACTGAACCACATCTGAGCTTAACAGGTCAGTCCAGCACCTCCAGGCAGTAGTTTACCTGCCCTTAAAACTGATGGTGTACTCTTGGAGAAGATGCCCAGAGCAATATTTAAAACACTGCAGCCAGCAACACACGCAGGCCATTCCCTGGTCATCAGCTGCACTGGAAGGTGGAAGCACTAAACTTACCTTGTATCAGCAGTGGTGGAGACCCACTTTTCCTAAACTTTGGGAAAAATGTCAGATTTCCCAATAGAAACAATACCAAATGGGAATTTAACAGGGACAAGAGAGTGGTAGGACAGTCAGTAAATGAGGAACAGGCTTGCATCCACAGTCTTAATTGTAAAGTAGAAATGCCCCGTGAACCACTCACCATTGTAAAAATGATTGCGCCAAGCACTGCATACACAGCATGAAGCCAGGGAACCTGAAACACAAGATAAGCACAGTATCAACCATGACCTCTTGCTTTCTAAAATAGGCGCATTTTGTAGCAACAGGTGATCAGTGACACCAGTTACTGCATTTGCCCACATTATCAACAATGGTAACACCTATTGGCCCATATTGTCAATAACAGTGGCACCCATTGGCCAACACTTTCAATAATAGTGGCAACAATTAGCCCATATAGTCAGATCATCTCAATCATTTCCCGATGGTGTCAATAATTTTTTTTGCCATTGGCAAATGACGCTGTAGTGATATCTAAGTTGACAGCTCAGATCTCATGCAATGCAGAGATTAATAATACCCATATTTCCGAAACCCTAACCCCTTCCAACAGTGCAACCTTTGCATATTAACAACCCTCAGGTCTGCAACAGAGGACATTTATGATGTCAGCTCCACTCTGTTTTGAAATATATCATTTCTGTGAGGCTTAGACAGAGTTGATTGCAGAGTACGTCATGGGCCCTCAGTTAAAAGGTGGGTCAGTTATTTGTGTCCGAGTGAATGGGAGGAATGGTGGAGGAGTTTACGTACATACTGAAACGGCAACACAATCGCCAGGACCAAGCCACTGATGCAAAGGACTATCAGCAGCACAAACAGAACACCATGGCACGAAGTAAAGTCAAACTGGAAAAAAGTGAGAAAAATGTTTGGTTATCAGATCTATGGCTAGATTCTGAATAAAGCAAAATTAACTTGAAGTAGCAACATAAAAAAGAATTTAAGTTTATTTCTCTTCCACCCCCCACTATGTAATATTTGTCGACCATGCAAGATTCTGGGCAATGTGGATGCACTTCGAGGGCTGTTGTGCACTTGACTGTTTGAATGCCCTGCTTCCTTGCTGTAGGGATTTTATTATTGTCTCCAATTTCAATTTCCCCTGTATGGAGATGCCTGGCTTCCATGACATCTCAGGACCTCAGGAATGAGGGGTACAATCCCCCTGTAGTAAAATGAAGTATTTTGGGTGATACACTATTTATTATAGAATTCACTTTTCTAGTTATGGCATGTAGAAGATTAAACAACATTAACTTCTATTTGTATAACATTTTAATAAAAAACAAAGTTTGATGCCAAACCACGCAAGGGGATATTAGGCTGATTTGTCAAACACTTGACAACAAGAATTGCAGGAGTACAGAAACCTCGCAGGGGTATGTAGGCACCGGAGCATGGATGGCTTTGAAAACAAGGCTGAAAATTTTAACTACAAGATTCAAGTAATGGCTCCGTCTGGCTGATAGGGAAAAACAGACATGAAAATAACTGTTGATATAGTCTTGATATGTAAACATTCATTGCTACTTTTAGAGATTTAGATGAAATTACACCTGATAATTCATCCAAAGCGTTATGCCCAGGAAGAGACTTTGTCATTCAACTTAAATACAAGCATCTTTCAATTGACTGACAGCCTGGAGGTACAGTTTTTAAATTTCATTTGTTCCACTTAAAGAGTTTTCAAAGTAGATCTCAGGGAATCTCAAGCTTCTTTATCAGTCTTTGTGAAGCTATTAGATCAGAGAGAAAAGAAGCTCCTTCCAAGACTTGGCAGTGAACTTACAGGTGAGGCTACAGATAGCAAGTGCAGTTCAGCTCCTGTTCTACACTCAAGTGTAGACAGCTCTTTGCCGTTTTCTATATTCAAACGAATGATGTTTGTATGTTATTGTAAGTGTGTTGTCCACCTGAAGTTTATCTATCTATTCGGTGTTATCAAACTCTTTGCTAATAAACAGATGAAGTCACTGTCTCCCAAAGCCAAGGAAATCATGAGTGAATCTGTAATACATTCAATGTCAAGAGTTCAGTTGCAAGGAACAGATCAAAAAGAGTCGTGCCTCCTTCAGTCCTGTGTCGCTACAAGTCCGAACATCACAGTTCACACACTGAACCAGTAATCCAGCATCTCAGACCCAGACAGGATTTGCAACAAGTGTCATTTCATAGCAGGCACGTTGCGCTGTACCTTTCCCCACAGAGGTAAGGTGAAACAATGTAAGCTGAGCTTACATTAGCCATGTTACATGTAGTGTCAAGAAGCGATCTCATTCCATATTTAGCGGTGGTTTATTAATAGTGAGATATGCAAAGACTGGGCTTCAAAAAAACCAGAGGAGGTGCAGAAGGCTAGGAGTCGACAGATCTCAGCAGAAGGACAGTTTGTCAACGAAAATCTGCCATGTTGCATTCAATGGATTAACTTAACATACACTACCATTCTGCATGTCTGCGTGCATGAGCCCATGAGTGTATGCGTACACACGTATAACCAAAGAAGCTGGCAGCTAAAGGAAGGCAATAGCTACTGGATAGGACAGGTATGTATTTTTGCAGCACTGCTTATGGACCAGGTGGAGCTTTCTGCTGGCTCCCCAAGCAAACCGGTTTCCCATTCTGCACGATTGAATACCTCCTTCCTTGTTTTAGGATACCCACAATTGCCAGTACCATTTTTGCCTATTCCTCCATCTCTCCCCAACACCCTGTGATCCAGCCCGGCTTTCCAAGCTACACTGTAACCACTCAATCTTTAAGCAGAGTCGGACCACCTTACTTGCCCCTGTACTTAACTCTCTTCTGTAGCATTCCTTGCTTGACAGGGAGTTAAACAGGGAATGCATTAAAAAAAAAACAAACAATAATGCATGCCATGAATTTAACACTCAACTAGAACTCTATCCCCGAGTTTGGAAATTCTACCTCTAAGTATCAGAGCCAATGTCTTGCTAGTTCATTCACCTTCAGGATACTGGAGAAGCTGATCATGGTTCAATGAGCCCAGCTTACCTTGGTTTGAAAACTGAATATTGTAACTGCCAAACATACAAGTGCTGTAATGGTGAAGCAAAGTAGAACCGATTTCGTATTGTAGAAGCTGGAAAATTAAAAGATAAAAAATAATCAGGACAGATTTTTTATCTTGGTCAATAAAACTCTTGTTCTGTGCTTCTTTCAATAAAATATCCATTTGAAGTGGTAGTTTTGCAATTTGACCATTGATTGAGCGAATAGCCTTAACACTAATCTCCACAGCCCTTCCCTTCCTTTCATTCAGAAACTCAAATTGAAAGGTCAAGGAGCTACAAATGAAACAGGAAACGAGGAAGCAGAGGTTAGCTGTGGATTTTAAAGGGCTGTGCATTGTCGAAGGGACAGAAGGCCGGAGGAGGACAGGATTCCACACCTCAAAGCTGCAGGATGGTGCAAAGGAGGGGGGCAGGACCCACAGAGGAAAAGAAAACTGGTCAAATAGCAAGCAGACAATCTGAAGGGATTGAAGAACGATAGGGAACAGAAAGATGTGATTTCCAAAAATGGTGATTTTTAAATACAACACAGTAGAAGTTAGTACTGAGAACAGGATGACTACTGCTGGTACCTTGTGCTATTTTCCACTTCTATCAGTGTGAAGTACTGGGTAAGGACTGTTTGGTGGGGTTAGGTCACCGTCACCAATTCTCCTTTGTCTTTCCTTCATCTTGGGCCTACCTAGTGATAAATGGTACTGAGGCAGGCATTTCTAACCTCAGCAGACCCAGCTCAGTAGGAAGTACATTGTCAGGTTGAGTTTCCACTGTAGGGTGGGCCAGTGAGGGACAGAAGAATCGGGCCTGCCACCAGAGAAGAAGTTTGGAAGGTGCCAAGTGCTGAGGCAGGTTGTTTAAAAGACACGTTAGTTCTCCGAAACTTTGTCCCAGTTGCTTGCTAATATATTAAGTCCTATAGGACTCATTCACACTCCCACTTACTGCTCATGCCACCTCCCTGTCAATTCATGCAAAGTCCTGTCCCCACAAACACTCCATACCCACCAATATATTCCATGCCTACTCATGGCACTTCCATTGCCATTCATTTATATACACTGTCCAGAGGAAACACTGGTGGTGCAGTGATACTGTCCCTGCCTCTGCCTCTGACCTAGGAGACCCAGGGTTTAAGACCCACCTGCTCCAGATGTGTTGTAATAACGTCTTCTCCCCAAATGTGTCATAGAGCTAATCCTTTTATGAGAGTCTGAGCTCCCAGCCAAGCCTCACTCTGCATATTTTATGGCAATAACAACTGCATTTATAAAGGCACTTTTAACAGAAAAAAAAATCTGACTCAAGGTCCTTTACCTTGGAGATAGATGGGAATGGACCCCAAATCACAGGGAAAGAGATCAAAGCTTGTGTAAAAGGTGGACTTCTAGTTTTGAAAATAGAGAAAGGAGAGGTGGACGAGATTTAGGGAGAGACAGTCCCATAGAGCTTAGACAGCTTAAGACTTTGTCATCAATGGTTATGGCAAAAGGGTTAGGTGGGGGTAATGACAAATGGCCAAGGAGAGAAATGGTATATTGAGGATGGGAGGCTGGGTAGGAATTCTAGAGCTGGAGGAGTGTGTAGTGATAGAATGGAGCAAAACCAAGAAGCAATTGGAAGACAAGGATCAGGATTTTAAATTCATTGGGGTTACTATGGAATCAACGTAGATAAAACATCCTGCATCCCAACGATTCTAAAAGTCTCCTAATCTTTTACTTTATCATTTTGCCATTGATTTAAAATCAATCCCCTCTAATTCTCAACTCAATTATCAATGGAAATAGCAGATCACCTCTATTTATTATCACTGTAAGGAATATTCGAAAATGCTTGATCAGTACTGCATGCTGTGTGTTTTCAGGACCACCTTCTCCTGCGTAGAATCAAGTGAATATTCCCTGTATTATCCCAAGCATTATCTGGCTTTCAAAACTTAGTGTTGTATGGTCCCTTTAAGAAAATAGCTCTTAATTCTATGGATTGTTCAGTTTCCGAGAACTGCCTGCTCTTTACTGAATGGAAAAGGCACTGGCATTCATACTGCTGACTGCTATTAAATGTTAGATTTCATAGTGAATTAAGCCAAGACAGGGTGGAAAGTAAAATAGGGCAAGAAGCATCCTGATCAATGAGCATTCACTTCAAAGCAAAAATCATTATATAAAAAAATACCTTGAAAGAAATCCAAGCATGCATGCAAAACTGCCAGTCTTCACAAAGGTTAAACACAAACAAAAGAACACAGTTAATGACAAGCCACAAAGAGTGGAATGGGTGGCATAGCTAATTATTTCAATACCTTGACATCATTCCTGTCATGTAAGACATGGCCAGAGTCTGCGGAGAGTGGTTAGAAACATTGTTGGTTAATGCTATACAAGCACCACACGAACACTCCCAATAAGGTCTGCTTTGATCAGTCATGACACCACACAAGGTTAGTCCTAAAATATTGACACATAACAGCAAAGACTGTGGCAACCACAGCATAGTGGTAATGTTACTAGACAGAGTAATCTATTGGACTGAATGATTGCTCTGGGGTTGTGGGTTCAAATCCCACCATCTGGGGGATATTAAATCGAAATGGAGTAACATGTTTGTCTCATTAATAATGCTGGTGAAAATGCTGGATTGTTGACATGTTTTTAAGACAGAAACCTGGTGTCTTTGAACAGTCTGACCAACATGTAACTGTAGTCTTGCACCCACTTTAAAGTGGCCAAGCAAGCCACTCAGTTGCATCAAACCACAGCAGTGGAACAACTAAGAATTGATTCAAGGAGGCAGCCTAGTGCCCCTCTCTCAACAGCACCTTGGGATGGTGCACTGCAAACCTGTTGGAATGGAAGAATTTGAAGGTTGAGGCTCAAGCACAGGTCAATGAAGTGGTAAGGGTTACCCATTTGATCCTACTTGGACAAATGTAGGTCCTCCAGTGCAAGTCATTTCAAAACTACTCCTGTATTATATGCTTTCTTCTGGTCTATCAATCCATTTAATAATACAAAGCAAGTCATTGGTAACACGAACATTAACTGTAGAGAAAAGGAGGCACAGAAACAAGGATTCTTCTCTCCTTTGAGTCACAATACTTACAAAAATGCCCAGGAGAATCAGGTTCCATGGAAAATACCTCCTGCAACACACAAAATCACAGGTTAAGGTTAACTATTACAGTTTGTCAGTTGTTTCCTGGGAATTCATAAAAGGGCCACTATAAGTTGGCCAAGGTTTTTCCACTGGTCTGCAAATTTGTAAGGTAACAAACTTTTCACTCAGTGCACATAATGTAAAATATAATGGGCTCAGGGTGCTGGTGTGGGTGGGTAACAAGCACCTGTTAAGTTCATGACCCTCGGACAAACCCCTTTAAGAACAATGGAAGTTTGGCTTGTCAGAACTACTGCACAGGGACTAGGATATTTCACTACTGTACTGAAGTACATACTTGTGGCACAGCAGTAGTGTTCCTACCTCTGGGCTAGGAGGCCCAGGTTCAAGTCCTACCTGCCCCAGAGGAGAGTAACAACATTCCTGAACAGGTTGTTTAGAGATGCCATTTCCCTAGCCCTGCACTCATCCCTGGAACATCCAGATGACAAAGACACCTATGTCAGACTCCTGCTCATTGAAGGCGGAGCTGTAGTCAACACCATTATCCCCTCCAGACTGATCTCAAAACTCAGAGACCTTGGTTTCGGCTCCGCCCTCTGCAACTGGATCCTCAGCTCTCTGACCCTAAGGCCACAAATCGGTGAAGACAGAGAACTGCACCTCCTCCACAATAACACTCAACACTGGAGCCCCCCAAGGATGCATCCTCAGCCCCCTAACCCCCTGCATATGCATGACTGTGTTGCCAAATTTCAAATGAATACCATCTATGAGTTTGCTGATGACACCATCGTCATGGGACAGACATCTAACAGCGATGAGTCAAAATACAGGAAGGAGATAGAAGGCTTGGTGACGTGGTGCAATGAAAACAGCTTTTCTCTCAACATCGGAAAAACTAAAGAACTGATCATTGACTTCAGAAAGAAAAAAAAAAGGAGAACATGCCCCCATCTACATCAACGGAACGGAGGTTGAGAGAGTGGAGAGCGTCAAGTTCCTTGGAGTGATGATAACCAACAACCTGTCCTGGACTGCCCACATAGATGCAACAGTCAAGGTGGCACAACAACGCCTCTTCTTCCTCAGGCAGCTCAGGAAATTTGGCATGTCGATAAGGTCCCTCACCAACTTCTACAGATGCACCACTGAAAGCATACTGTCCAGATGCAAAATTGCCTGGTATGGCAACTGATCTGACCAGCACTGTAAAGAAACTACAGGAGGTGGTGTGCACAGTCCAGACCATCACGGAAGCCAACCTTCCATCCATGGACTCCATTTACACAGCTGATTGCCACGGAAAGGTTACCAAAACCATCAATGACCCTTCGTGACCCGGTAATCTCCTACTGTCACGCAGAAGATACAGAAGCCTGAACACACGGAAGAGCAGGTTCAGGAACAGCTTCTTCCCGGCCACTATTAGACTAATGAATGGACCCTTTAGCCTCAATTAATGATTGATTTTGCTAACATTGATCTTGCCTAGCGCATGCCCTGTGCAGTGTAACCGTTACTTCTGTCTAGGTCATTTTGATCTGTACATCCTTGTTTACTATGATCTGTCTATACTGCTTGTAAAACAAAGCTTTTCACTTTACTTTGGTACATGTGACAATAAATCAGAATATAAAAAAACATGGGTTGAATCGTAACAGTGCGTAGTAATCCTGCCTCTGAGCGATAGGACCTCAGCTCAAGTCCAAGTATCTAGAACCCTCTCCCTGCAAAGCTAGTTAAACTTTGAAAACTGAGATTAATTGACTTTTGTTTGTCAAGTCTTAAGGGATATATGGAATTAAGGTGGGCAGATGGAGTTAAAATGCAGACCAGCCATTGGTTTAATCAACTGACCCAATATTTATCCCTTAACCAACAACTGAGAACAGATTATTTGCTTGTAATTACTTTGTTTGTGGGAGCTTGCTATGCACAAAACTACCTCCTGTGTTTCCTATAATACAACAATGGTGACACTTCAAAAAACTACTTTTTTGCCTGTAAACAGACGTCCTCATAGGCTCTACATTAACGCAAGTCTTTCTTTCATGAAAATAATTAACTATTGAGGCAAGAGACAACGTGGGCAATTTTCCTAAATCAGGGCCCAGGCATATTGGAATGCCCGGGCCAAAGGAATATCAGAAAATTGGAAATTTCTTTGCTCCATGTGGCCTTCCCACTTTCCAACAGACATATTCACACTAAACATCTGCACACTAACACAGGTAAATCATCTCACAAAAAAAAAAAAGAGGAATTTGTTCACCAATCCTACACTCTCAATGGACAGCAATCGCTTGACTAAAATGAAACAATTAACACGCCCTGGAGGTGGGCAAAATGGATGAAGAAGTCTCTTTTTGGGAATCAGCTCTCAACTTTGAAGTCGACTACACAGGCAAGTTTCCCCCAAGTTTCATGAGGCCTACAAAATACTTGGTATAATGATACAAAATGTCCTCCACACAGTTGAACCATAAAATATACCATTTATTAATTAGGAAAGAACCAAACATCGCATTAGTTATTATAATATTCATATTACAAACAATATATTCATATTATTCATGAGAATTATTCTTGGATTCTCTGCCCAAAGGCAGGTTCTGCTGTACAAGGCAGGTAGCACCTGAAAGGGTTAAATGACCTTACATAATAAGCTGTGCCCATCAGGATATAAAAGTTCTGTTCCTGGGATAGCCACCAGATTTCAGTACCAGCTGCAAGTTCAGTCCTAGGTTTTATGTAGCTGGCAGCAATGTACACTCACTCTCAAGTCTAGCCTGAATCTTACAAGAGACTATCATGTAATGCAGATGTAACACAACTAAAATGTTATGTAATATGTAATAAAACTACGAATGTGGGTTTCCTTGCCCATGTGGTATCAAGATCAATACTGGTAAGGATTGCTGGCAGTGAATCTACCCAAAACATCTCAGATGGTACTGGTGGACGTGACCACATCATGGTTCAGGTCCAACTGACAGCATTGCAGTATACACTGTGGACAGGGCAAAGAGCTAGGTCCCAAATCCACCACAGCCAGAATGAGGATTGGTGCCTACAGCGCAGGGCTCAATCTCATCCACACTGACCAACCAGCCCCAGAGTCTGAGTTACTGTGGCAACAAACACTTTTCCATGCACGTTGTAGCCTGGAGCGATGGATAGTGATGAGAAAGGCTCCAACCTTCTGTGTCACACACGGACCAGGAATCTTTTCCATTCTCACCTCCTGTCATTAGAGTGTGTGTCAAACAGGTTTAAGAGTTTGCTCTTTAATTTGTTTGGCCACATCCTGAACATGTCTTCACAAACTATGTAGTCCTGGAGTGGGATATGAACCTGTAATGAGTAGCTTGGGTGGGGTGGGGTGGGGTGCAGGGACACTACCTACTGCACCACAAAGTCACCCAACACTAGTTTACCAATTTTAATAGTTAAATAAATAGAGCAATCCATCGAATGGTGCACAGTTTCACGTAAGCCTAAAGATAATTACCTTGGTCCAGGGCAGCAGGCCAGGGTCATATAGGTTACAAAGAAGACAGCACTGTGAATAGGAAGGGAGATGTTAAAAAGACCGCAGCAAGTGATGGTACTGGTTTATATGGTATTTCCAGCACCTAAACACGCCCTTTGACCCAACTGGTCTAAACTGATATTTACACTCTGCACGGTCCTCCTAGCTTATACTATCAGCATTATCCATCTATTTCTTTCTCTGTGTAAGTCTCCAGCTTTCCGTTGAACAGAGTTTGGCAATAATACCTCCCTTCCCCCGCCCCCAACCCTGGCAGATACAAGGATGTGACCATTTAGACCACACACATATACACACACACACACACACGAAGTGGGACACTATTAATTCACACTTACTATGAAGCCCAGTACCAGCCAGGACGTGCCTGAATGTAACTCCTGACAGGGTCGCTGTACAGAAGTTGGGGGAGGGGGGGTGCAGGTGGAGAGAAAGAACATGGTTGAATACAATTGCAGAATGAGCAAGCTGGAATGTAAATACAGGAGAAAATCATGCTTTGATTGGATGGCGACTTGACTCACGTTCCAAAAGGAGAGTGTCCCTCACTGACAGAGGAGTTGAAATGAGGGTCTCTCCCACTGGTAATGCTCGCCCAGTCACCAAGCCAGAACATCAATTATCTGCCAGCTCATGACATCAACCACACAGGGGCAAACTGCAGACTATCTGGCACCTAACCCAGCAATGTAGGTGGCACACAGACTTTAACCCAGTGAGGGCACTATGTTCAATGCAGTGTGGCTTGTTGAGTCTTCATTTTAAGAAGACATTGACCATTTATCTATCACTTTTTACCCCGACATAAATGCCACTTCCATGACTGATCCATTTCCTCCCTTTTTCTTCACTTGTTTTCTGTTCCACAGTTTTGCAATAGGGCTGAGGCCTGAGCAAGGTCGGTGCACAAAATAGGATCATAAATATCAAGGCAGCAAAATGAAGAGCAGGGCAGAAATGCAAGCCCAGCAGTCATTGGCTCAGGTTCTATTCTCCTGCTTCTATGCTTTCTTTGCACCAGTATCTCACCTGCTCACTCAGCCCATGGAAGGCACTAGTGTCTGATGGCTGAATATTGTCAAGTTAAGAGAGGAAAGAATACTGGCCCAAACACTCTGCGTGAAGCACTGTTCAGTCAGCTGTCACAGTAGGGTGGGTGCAGTTGTGTAAGTTACGGCAGCGAACAATTGGAGGCTCAGTTTGTGACAGGCTGAACTGGCAACTTCTAGCAACCAACTGTAGACTCATTGACAGAGGGTCGAGAGCAAGCCAAGTCTGTGCCATCTTCACAAGGGGTCAAGAAATCCAACAGGAAGGGGTGGGAGAAACAAATATACAAAAATATGGTCAACAAATGCTTTCCTTTTCAAAGGGGCAATTGGAATAGAATGCCTAGAGTGCCAAAAGAGGCTATTCAGCCCATTGAGTCCACACTGACACTTTGAACTGCATCCTACCCAATTGCTGCATTTCTCAGGGCTAATCCAGCTAACCTGCACATCTTTGGAGGAAACCAATGTAGACACAGGGAGAACATGACTCCCTGGCACTGTGAGGCAGCTGTGCTAACCACCGAGACACCATGCAACCCACTTAGTAGCACAGAAAGTCACTTGCTGTTGAACCTTTACATCTTGCATTCATCAGGACAGATGCAAGAATGGCAAATTTCAAAGGAAGCAATATGCAGAGACCTTGGAGGAAAATCAAATATGTCCAGACCATGCGCTTTTTCCAAATGAAAGAAAAAGCCTTGGGGCCAATACCTCCCCGTGCAATCTCCACATCAATGCCTTTCATCTGTGGTATAAATCATTGCCCTCTTGAAATTTGGAATTTATTGTTGGTCTTGACAACCGCAAGAAAGCGTCTTATTTTCAACAATAATCTCTTTTTTCCCCTCTTGAACTTGAGGTTGAATCAGATTCGACATTGCAAATGAAGCTGCTCT